AAAGAGGACTTCTGCCTTTCTGTCAGCGTGGAAGCAGCCTCCCTTCCCTATGCTTCCTCCTTTGATATTTACCAATGGTTCGCTTCAGCCCTTTCAATTTTCCCCTTTCCTTCCTGTTCCTTGATTCTGCCTGCCTTTGTGATAGGGAAATGAGGAGACTCTTACCAAATGCCTTCCTTGGCCTCTCTTCACACTATGTTTTATCTTTAAGTGCTGAGCTTAAAGATAGGAATACCTTGGCCTCTCTTCACACTATGTTTTATCTTTAAGTGCTGAGGAAAGGAATACCTTCCTTTCTGCCCTTCTCCCACATCATTTCAAGAATTTCTTCAGAAAAAATGTCACATGCTTTCTGCCCCAGCTTTCTAGTGTAACTCATGTCCTCTTTTTAACTCCCAACAACCTGGGGTGGTTCTGTTCTCCTACCCCTTCTTCCATTGCCTCCTGTACATACTACCCATTGCATCACCACCTCTGTGTTTTGTTTTCATTTCTACCTTGCAGTCTTCTCCCATGCAGTATTTTCTGCTTGACAAGTACAGTCTACTTCATATGATCTCTCTCCCCACAAGAGACAGTCACAGAGGTTACACAAACAGGTTATAAGGAGAGATCTGATGTTCCCAAAGGCATGTCTGTCTTTCCTGACTCTGTCTAATATAGCCACTGCCTCTGACAAACTTTGCCCACTCACATCCTTGATCATTGTGGCTAAGAGTGCCCAGTTTCCCCCTCAGCACACACCACCTGAAGTGATAACCTGGGGGATGGTCTTCCACCTTCAGCTCATGGATTTCAACTCTCCAGGTGACACATCTTGTGTCAGAGTTATGTCCTTAGCAAATGGAAACTCTCTCTTCCATCGTCCTCAGGCAAAGGTTATCTTTTAAAAAATAACACAGAAAACCTTGCTGCATTGGACCACCTATGTACTTTCACCAAATTCAGGAAAAAACCCTCACCCTGTATTATAAGAACTTTTAAGGCTGGTTTGAAAGGTAAAGAATTCCTACTCCAAGAGGGTCGATGAAATAATATGCCAAGGGTGGTGATTAAGTCTCACCACAAAGGAAAATGTTGAGTTGATGTAGGTGGCATAAAACCCCCCACTCTCTTTATGAGTCAGGTAAGCTGCCAGAAAGCGGAGGTGGAATCCGTGGGATGGAGCTGTTTTCATTCCAGCCACTTAGTAGTAAGCTCTTTGAACAACAACAAAAAAAGTAGTTTAAATAATGAATTATATTTTTTTTAAAACTGAGACTCTTATCTAAATAGCAAAATCTAACAATTGCCTTTGATTCCCAATGATTATGTTTGCAGTCAATGACAGTCAAGGGAAAAAAATATTAAACAACTCTTCCCCCCATCCTCTGAGGTTAATGTAGCATTTTTGGATTATGCATCTATTCTTCCATCTCCCACCCAATGCATATGATCCTGCAGTCACAGCTCTCTTCTCTCCCTCTGGCTCCAGAAAAAAGGAAAGCTGAGAAGCTGAAATCCCAGTCTCACCCCACACAGAACCCTTTTCAGAGGAAGAGCATAGCTCTGCTGAGGAGAAAGCATTTCTCCACTTTTTGCATTTGTTAAACCACTTTTGTGCAACTATTTCTTCTAATAGCTGCACAAAAGTGGCTTAACAAATGCATAAAGCAAAACAATTGGGGGAAAAAAAGAAAAATGTTTGGTGAGGTCTTATTTTGGGTCAGTCCAGCATCCAAGACATATTTCAAAGATATGGCAGTGTCCCTCACTTAAAATGTAAGTCTTTATTTACAAAAAAAACTCCTTGAAATGGAAAAACGTAAAAAGAATGTCATTAGGTTCTTAAGTTCAAGGGGCTTGAAGTCCTCCTCTGGTACTGTCAGTGGGAACACAACATCTGCTCTGTTCACAGTGCAGCCTCAGCAAAATGCTTTCTCAAGTACACATCTGAATTTAGGAACATTTCCCACACACTTAATTCTTCAGTCTACCCAACACATATGGGATGGGAAGGAGCAGTGTACTTCAGGTGCTAAGAAAGGGAAGAAATAGATCAGACTATCAGCACGAGTAATTTCTTGTTTTCAGCTGGAGAGTGAAAGATGTGGAGTGGAAATATAGGTGTACCTATATATGCATAATATTAAAGTAAAATATATGTAAATGTAAGGGAAGAAAAGAACAGTTACCAAAGGAACAGCTTGGAGAAGAAATGTCAAGAGGAAGGTAGAGTTAGGCAGTGGACAGAAGTGAGATGTCAGAAAGGAGAGACAGAAGGAGAGGGTTTAAAAAGAATGACACAGAGGGGAAAAAAGATGTAAGAAGAAGATATATGAACAGGAACAAAAATGAGAGAAAAGATATGACTGGACAAAAAACAGAGAGGAGGAAGGTAAAGTAATGAGCACAATGTTTGGTAAGGCAGAAATACTTAAGTATAAATAAGACACAGAAAAGAGAAACTCATAGGAAGGGTCACAAGAAGGAAAAAAGACCTTGCACAGCAGAGATGGGAAATGAGCAGTGGGGAAAAAAAATCACCTGCCAGCACAGCACTTCTCAGTCACGGGTGAGAGGTGCTGCTGGCCCAACAAGGGACAGAGGCAAACCCTAGGAAGTGACAGGCTAAACCCAAGGAGAACAAAGGACCACGCTGGGAGAAGATAATGATAGCCTTGTACTAGGCCTTTTGTCTGAAACAGAAATCACAAAGGTCATTGAAATTGCTGCTTAAATCTTACATCTGATACTTGAAAAAAACCTCTTTCCCAATACAATGATTCTTCCTTCTCTCTCAACGCTGGATTAAATTAATTACTTTACAGTTGTACCTCCCTGCTGGGGAAGTAAACCCCAGACACCATTCTGCTCAAAGTAGACCTTCGTCTCTGGCTCCCTTTGCCTATAGAGGCTTCTGTAGAAATCTTTCAGTAGACACAGGTAAATTTCCTGCAGCTCCAAAATTACCATGCTGGATTTGGCTATCATTAGTAAAATGAGGAAAGAAAGAGGAAGGAAACAGGGTAAGCACTCAGGAAAAAAAGCTTCTTTTTTCTTGTTATTATAATTAGGAAATTTACGCAGTAGAGAGGGAAAGAAAGTGCTGCCTGTAAATAAACTGTCACTCCTTTGAACATCAAATAATAGGAACAAGAGGGAGTGTGTGGGAAGTACATTCATATTATCAAATTCTTTCTGACATTAACCTGTTCAATATAATGAAAACATAATCAGGAAAATAACATATTGTAACACAAATACTATGGAGGCTATAGAGAAAAAACACCAGGAAGATCAGTGTTCCCAGGGTAGCTCCAGTCTGAGAAACCAGAGCCTTATTAGTAGTAACAGGAGCAACATATGGAGATGAATGAAACCATGTTTGTAAATGTGATATGCAATTGCACACTCTCATTTGGCTTTCCTTTTTCACGATCTGACTCAGCCTCCACACTCCCCCATCTTTTGATTCATAAATTCTTGATATCAAAAAATGAAAGAGTTACAAAGCCAGCATGCAAAGGGCATGAGATGACGCGAGATACAAGGATGCTGGTGAGCACAGAACGTGCCATCAATCACCAGACTGCAAAGGGACAAATCTGCTGGAGATAAGCAGTGGAGACAGGGCCACCCTGTCCAGGGGCTCGCTGGAGGACGCCGCGCAGCAAACCCCAGCTCATCCCCACTGTGCTAGAGGCGCATGCTGAGGTAGACAAATCTATTACAAAATTGTATAATATTGCTTGTGCTGCACAGCAGCCACTCGGTTAGGCAGCCCCTGCATCACCAAACCCGTGAGACCGGAGGTGAGAGGAATGAGAAATAAAAGGGTTTCCTACGGCATATACTCCCTGCATTTTTTATAGCTATGGAAAAAAGATCAGGGTTAACCACAAGCAACACAAAACACAACAAACAGTGCATGAGCAATGGTTTGCAGCCCTATACACTCAACAATTAACAACCTCACAGAGTGTTGACACAGTGGGGGTCTGTACACAGGATAATCCCTTCCTTCCCTGGGGCCCGGGCTCCTCAGCATGTGTGCGGGCAGGCTGCAGACGGCCAGCCCAGCCCGTGGGCACCGCTGGCCCGCTGCAGGCAGTGCCCGGCTGCGGCCCCCAGCCCTGCCACGGCCGTGCCCCGGCCCAGGCTTCGCCTTCGGCCCCCGGTGCACCGGAGCGCACTGAGCTCCGGCGATACGATTCCCACCATGGCAGCAAAGCACTGGCAAGGCTGACACCGTTTGGGTGCGTTCGCCAAGCCCGGAGAACGACGAAGCCCCGACTCTGCGGGGCTCAGGGTCGAGCAGAAGGCATGGCAGGGCAGGGCAGGGCAGGGCAGGGCTGGTCGCACACCGCATCGCGGTACAGCGGTGCGGCAGCTCGCACGCCCGGGCAGCGCAGCCCCGCTGCGGACACTGCGGCGTGCGGTGCCCACCGCTGCCGCACGGCAGGCAGCCAGCGCAGGGGAGGGTCTTGCCTGCTGGGCGTCTGGACTCCTCCGCAGGCGAGCTCCAGGCGCCGGCGTGGCGCGGGGCAGGTGCGCGCGGCGGGGCTGGGGGGCTGCTCGCTGCCGCTCCGCGCAGATCCGGCGGCCGCCGCGCCGGGGGCTGAGCTGGCCCGCCCGGCCCCGGCGGCGCCCGGCCCCGCTCAGCACAGCGGCGGCGGCTCTCGGGGCGTCGCCTGGCTCCGGCGGCCTGGGCACGGCGGGGAGCGTGAATGAGAGTTTGCTCCGATTTCCGAGCAGGGTGAGTGCCTCGCTGGCCGTCTCAGAATAATAATAGTAATAATAATAATAATAATAATAATGATAATAATAATAATAATAATAATGATAATAATAATAATAATAATAATGATAATAATAATAATAATAATAATGATAATAATAATAATAATAATAATGATAATAATAATAATAATAATAATGATAATAATAATAATAATAATAATGATAATAATAATAATAATAATAACAACAACAACAATAAATTTTTTGTGTGTCCATACCTTTAGCCCGGCGCCACCTCCCTGGGGCAGGGTTGCGTGCGGGGCGCGGTGTCTCCGCCACCCCCGGTCGGGGACCCTTGGGAGGGGGTTGATGTCCTTTGGTCCCTCCGTTCCCTTTTGTTCTACTCTCCCGGGGCTGGGGGGAAGGGGCGGACCGGGAGGTTGCGGGGGAGCCAACGGAGGTCTCGGCCGGTGGCCCGGCTGTCCGGGCGGTTGCGGCAGGCGGGACGCCGTGCCCGTGCGCGCAGGGGGTGTCCGGCTGCTCCCTCCCCGCTTCCCCGGCGGAACAGTGGCCCTCTTCTCCTCCCCGCGCCCCTCCGGCACGGAGGAGCCGCCCTGGGCTGCGGGGACAGGCGGTGGCATCGCCGCCACCAGCCAGAAGGCACCGGCTGTAGTAAACACAGCGCATGGGGCGGCGGTGAACCCGGTAAAGGTCACATCCTTGTGTGCACACGCAGCCCGACCTATCTGGGCTCCCCAGCTGCTGTCTCGGGGCCGGTGTGGTGGCTGCCGGTGGCTGTCGCTGGCAGAGCCGCGCTCCCGGCCGTTGGCCGTGCTCGGCGGGGTTCCCCGGCTGCGAGCAGGGATCTCCCTTGGCGAGGGAGCAGCAGCCAGAGCTGCGTCACACCCTCCTTTGCCTCCTCCCGCCCCCGGCCGGGGTGGCAGCTGGGTGGCATCCGATTTAGCAATAAGAGCTGGGAGTGCAGGTTCTGCTGTGAGGTTTGATTCCTGAGCGGTAGCTGTGCCTAGCCGAGTTCAGGGCTAGGCACACGTTGATGTTAAACAGCAGCCAGCAATGTACTGATTCCTCAGAGCATGCAGTGTCTGGATGCATCTTGGTGTGGAGCAGTGAGGCACGGGAGTGTTGGAGCAGTAGAAGCAGAGGAATGCTGCTGGAGAGCTTACTCCGGAGGAGACGGAGAGGATGGCATGGTAAATGGCTGTTTTGCAATTCAGGCTGTCAGCCTGGACTCCTGCAGACAGGTCAATAGGTATGCGTAGATTTGTGGCCTTCTGTGTGCTCCTGTGGGTCATCGCTCGGCTTGTGTGCACAAATGGGAAATGACAGCTTTTTGTCATGTTTTTGTGTCTTGCCTTGTTGATACAGCTCAGGAGTTTTAGATTAGTAGATGTGGTACTGTTAAGCTTGTGTGATTATGGAATGAATGATGGACAAGTTCTCGGTATCACATTTCCAGTGGTGGTTGAGATGTGGGTGGGGAGAGGAAATATTTAATAAAGTAGGGCTCTCAGGTCCCTGTGCTTTGCATTATCTGGCAGTATCCTGCCTTTACTTTTAACATGTGATAAATAGTTTCATTCCACAGAATTAGAAGTGTGAGCTTAACTACTTTTTTAATGCCATGTTTAGTTATCAAATATCACATCTAGTTGTTCAGAAAGAGAAGGCTTTTTTTAGTCCCAGTCTGTGTTCTTCAGAAGCTGACAGTTAAGTTACCATTTCTGAAACTGATAAAATACAAAATTGGTGTTGTTATGGCACTGAATTGTGCAAAATTCCATGAAAGCCTGAGTTATGTTTCACTATTTTTCATATGGTGGCCACAAGAATGTTTGGCTCATCCCTCTGCCCTAATAAAGGTGGTTTTGGGCTGAGATGCCAGACTGAACTGAAATGAGCCATGTCGTGCATCCTGCTCTGCAGGTAAGCTCTTGGAGCTGGTTTTGGATGGTGGTAGGTGGGACTAACCTGAGTTCAGATATCAGACTGACAGGTTTGGTTTTGGGTTTTTTTCTCATTTAACTGTGGCACTGTTGGGATGCGATCTGCTCACATGTCCTTGGTTGGGGGTGGCTCTCGAGCAGCCTGGGGTTGGCTGCTGCTGTTTGGATGTGTGTGTGCCCCTCCTTGGCATGGTACGGCTTCTGCTCTGGTGGAGGCATCACCCAGGCTTTGACCTGATGCCTTGCCAGCATTGCTGTGTCCTGGTGACCTGACATCAGTGCCTGGTGGGGGGGGCGAGGAATTAAGGGCAGCAGCTGGGAAAAGCCTGTCCCGGCTCTGCTCTTTCGTGGGACCCGGTTTCAAAGAGACTGGTAGAAGGGGAAATGAGGAGGCAAAAATCAGAGGGCTGACTGGCAGCCCTGCTGTCTTTCCAGCTGGAAGCTAATTCCCAGTGATTTACAGCAGAAACTGTTCCCTGCCCCTACCCCTTCTCTTCCCATGAGTGTTATTGAAAGGTTATAGGAATAGAAGTTCATTATAAGAATGAATGGCTGGAGCAGTATTACGTGCCAAAGAGATTCAGTATTTGAGACCTGGGGGGAAAAACCCCAGCTGGAATACTTTATTTTGGCAAGGGAACCCTTTTAGTGTCTGAGAAGTGATTAGTGCTGCTGTTAAAGGTCAGGTTTAGGTATTGGGTGTGGAACGTTGTCTGTGGATACCTACAAAGTACATACATGTGGTACTACATATATGTGGTATGTTTTCAGCATCATTCTGGTACTTGAGTGTTCAATCCTTAATACAGAGACTTCAAAACTAGGGAGAGGCATTAGCTGTTTAACCCCCACAGTGATGACAGATCTGTTGGAAGAATTACAAAGATCTCATTTCTCCTTATTTGTCTGCTGAAAATGCACATTTTATTTTTAACTGTATCACCACGAAATGTATAGGGACTCTTGAACACCAGTCTGTGTTTTGTGTAACACATGGTCCCATTAACAATTTTATAGTGAATAATTTTTTATTTAAGGAATAGTGGATCACATTTCCTGATGTTTTGGTTTTCATAGGTCTGGGTAATAAATACTATTCAGGAAGGCTTGAGTCAAGGGCAGCATATACTTCACTGTTTTTTTTGGGTTAAAGTTATGTAGCTATTCAATGGTTTGTTGTGGTCTCTTCCTCCCTCTCTTACCCCCAGTAAGCCTTAGCAGAAATGCTCTCTAATTTCAAAGTCTTGAAAGCCCTGGCTATAACTAAAATACTCCAGTATTATGTTCAGAGAATTCTGTCATCTTGAATTGGAGGCTCTCTTGTCCAAAACTGTGTCAGGCCCAAATAAAGTACGCAATTTTCTAGCTTTATCCTGTAACGCTGGTTCTATTTCTTTCCTACACAGACTTTTGCAGCATCCATGCTAGGAGGAGAGATCACTTTCTCTAATGTGTTATTTTTGTGACACAGAGTTTGATCAGAGGGAAAGCTTTTGACAGTAAGTGCTTAATCAGGGTTTTTCAAAACAGATTTTCTCTCTGCCCACTGCCCTTAACCTGGCAGATTAATCCATGTAATAATCTGTGCACAGAAATACAGACAACAAATGTAGTGCTTCAGTTGTAATGTTGGGTGCTTTGAGGTTATCATGTTTTGATCTTTGAAGTTTCTGAACATGCAAGTTTCCTCTTTGGACCTTGTGTTCATTGCCGTTGGTACAGGACACACGCTCCCAAACCAAAGAAATCAGGCCTTTTCCTAGAGGTCACAATTTACTAAAAGAGTTATAGTTTAGTTGTAAACTCCCCTTAAAATTTAATGACTTAGCACTGCTTTTTGTTATGACATAAGAAAAAATGAAGTCTTTGAAGCTACTTCAGACTTCATAAATATTAACAGGCTCTGCAGTCTTCAGAGAGAGTACGTTCTGGATGTTTTTCTTCACCTTAATAGTATGGTTTCATTTGCACAGTAAATCGTCTTTACTAAACTGAAAGAGCAGTTATCAGATGCAAATCAGAAATTCTGTATTTGTGGGTGGGAGCCTCTTGCTGTGTTTCACCTTCTCTCTTGAACACCCAGTCTTTCTCCTGGTGCATGCTCTGGGAGCAGTAAATTTAATTCCATGGCTTACAAGACCAGATCTTCAGAGGTACTTAAATGATTGAAAATGCAGATTTTTTCCTTCTGAGGGTAATGGAATGTAAAGATTCACAGCTTGCATTGAAAAAAATCTGTTCTATTTGCATCCTGGGTCACTATATGTGCTTAATATTTGCCTGTGTTAATGAGGAAAAAAACCCACAGGAAGTGTTCTCTAAACATGCCTTGAGTATACTCAAAATTGTCTCTAAGTTTAAAAACTAATTTGCATTTTAATAAAAACTGAAATTCTGTTTGGTTGCAGCTTCCTATAAGTTCATGGTTAAGGCAGAAAGCTTTCTGTGGTTGTCCATAAAGAACACTTCACCTGTAGATCACTTTAGATGAAGTTTGATGTATTCTTTTAAAACTTGCTCTAGGCGTCTCATCAGTAATTGAAGAGAATTAGTCTTTTTATTTCACATCATCATGGAATGACTGAGGTTAGAAGGGACCTCTGGGGATACCTGATCAAACCCTTGGCTCAAGCAAAGCCAGCTAAAGCAGGTTGCTCAGGGAAAAGTCCAGATGCTTTTGAGTATCTCCAAGGATGGACACTCCACAGCCTTCCTGGGCAGCCTGTCCAAATTCTCAGTCACCCCCACAGTAAAAAAAGTGTTTTTTGATGTTCAGAGAGAACTTCCTTTGTTTCAGTTTGAGCCCCTTAGATGTGCTTCTGTCACAGCACCACCGAGGAGAGCTCAGCTCTGTCACCTCTACACCCTCCCTCCTACTTTTTATCCACATTTATAAAATCCTTCCCTTGAGCCTTCTCTTCTTCAAGCAGAACAGACCCAGCGCTCCAGCCTCTCCTCACGGGAGAGATGCTGCAGTCCCTTTGCTGGACTGTCTCCAGTATGATCATTTATCTCTTGTGCTGGGGCCCACAGAACTGGGCACAATACTATAGTTATGGCCTCATGTTTTCCAGTATGCTTTAAAAATAAGAAACTTCTAAAGTAAATGATGCATTTTTTTTTTTTTGGATGCAGGTCCAAGAGGTCACTTCGGTGCTGTAAATCACTGATGATTTACTCTCTGAGTACACTCTGAGTACCTCTGCCCTTCCATAGGAGCTAATGTTCCTTGTCTAAAACTCTTCAGCATTTTCCTGATCCCATCAGTGCAGGCTTTGACAACTCTTTTGACCTGTGATTAAGGGATTTGTGACTAGGTTTGCTGGCTGCACATGCCTAATAAGCGTAACCATTGGATGCTGAGTCACATGGGGACATGTGTTTTTGGGGTGTGTTGGTCCTGTCTGAAACAGAGCTCATCACAGCTTATAATGAACGTGTGCTTACATTTGTGAGGGCACATTCCTGCTGTGGGCTGGTTTGGTTCTCCAGCAGCCATCCTCGTCCTGCCCTGCCCAGCCCTGGGCACTTCTGCATAGCTGCATTTCCCCGGAGATGAGCCTGCAGGCGAGCAGCTGTCTGTAGTCTAAACCCAGGGAAGTCTGGATGCTGTGTGCGTAGATGGGTGATTCTGTAGTTGATGTTAAATACAGAATTTGTAAACAGGGGCTTTATTTTTAGGTCAGCAGGGTTTCTATTTTTAGGTGAGCACTTCTAGGTGGAGAATAAAGATGTTGGTGTAATGCTGCTAACACTGGTCATGGACAGGAGGGAGAGAGAAGAACAAGAAAAACGCATAAAGCACAAAATATCACTTTATCCTTGGGTTTTGCATCAAACTCCTTGAGAGGGGATGGTCATTTCTTTG